CCTACTGAATATTTGAGTACCTTATGCATACATGTATATAGGTTAATAGGTCGGTACAATTAAGAGAGAGAGAGAGAGACTGACAGATATTAATTTTACATCCCCCCCATTAATAAAAGAAAAATAAATATATGGTATATAATAAAGAACTATATGTTACAGCAAGATTGTGAAACCTGTAATTTCCTGATATCAATAATAATTTCAGTAATTTCATGTAATTACTGTTTCACTCGGGGACTTTACGAAATAACTAAAATATTTAAGAATTGTACGAAATTACTAAAATATCGTCATTAATTTTACTCGACCTTACTAAATAGCTTTACACAATTCGGCCGGGAACCCACATTGAGTTTTAGAGATATGGTAGTTGCAAATTATTATGTTATTTTAGACTATTAATGACTATTTTAAAACCACATTTACACATTTTACCTCTGCTTGGTCACGTAAGTATTCATTAAGACATGGCGCCTTATCATTAAACTTAATCTTGTTTAACAGTAAACATGGGTCACGGGGACGTAAACATATATAACCTATATAATAACCGAGCATAGTATTGTCACAGAAATAAGCTTACAGTACATTTCATCCGGACAATGATCAAAGAAAATGCATAGAAAATGACTGAGCAAAAATACATCTTACTTGCCATCTCGACGCCACAGTCTATGAAAATGAATCCCGTAGGTCTGAAGGATCTTAACGTCCAGTAGGTATACGGCACACTTTAAACTAACGCTGTATTGGGTACACAAAGGTGCAGGTTGGCCAGTACTACACTCGACTATCTTCACTTTACCCAACTGTAAAGTCAGGTATTCAATCACAGCTGGGTGAACTATGGGTGCCCCGAAGGTGAACCAAAAACTTCAAGAGACTTGCTCTACCCAGAGACTTCTTTAATGTAAACATCCCAGGAGTGATAACTATAATTTTCCACCAGCAAGTGTATATGTTTTCTGCACATAGGCGGAGAACAAAATCGACAGATTCAAGAGGATGCCGCCATATGCTTCCAAATTCCAGTAAAAAGCCTCACTATAAGAATCCTTCTTTGGAAGTGGCCCTGGAGACTGAAGAGCCAATGGTGAACAGGACAACGCTGTGGAACAATTCGTGTCTGCCAGGAAGCACCATATTTTACCAACATATATTCTATTTGAAAAGCAAAACACGACATTCAAGTAGGAATATTGTGTTTTCTTCAAATAACTACAAGTACATGAGAGGGGAAGACCACAACAAACTGGAGGGATGTCTTAAAAGAAGAAACATAACTAAGAGACGCCCTCCTCGTTCCGGGAAGAATCACCATGGTCTGATTTTATTCAGATTCAGTCCCATATCGGGAAAAGTGAAATGAATAATGACTTTTGCATATTGTGATACATTCTGGACACGATCTTTGGTAATCACAAGAAACACTGGAAAACATGCGAGTTCAAAGTTGCTGGAATGGCAAATGAATTCAATGTCCCGGAAGTTGATTGAGTTAATGGTCTTGATGATCTACTCAAGTCACTGGATTAAGAAAATTTCCTGGTGACTTTATATAGCAAACGTGATTCCGATCGTCAACACGGGGGTAACGGCGACTTACTCAGTAAACGGAGACGTTAGACCCCCGAGCAAGTACAAAAAAACAACAATGACTGGCATATGAAACTAACTTTGACATACCTGCAGTGTGATGTGTTGCGGTGTGTTACGGTTTCTCGATGAGCTGTTAACTTTCACTTACCTGAAGAAAACAAATCAGATTAACCTTCCATCCCCACATTACAAAGGTTAAAGAGAAAGTCGCCACCTATACTGGGTTATAAATAGGAGGGTCTCAGTGATGTATTTTTTTTAAGTATAAAAATTTATTAGGTGGGAGAGGATTAGATAATGACTGTAGTATTACCTTGAGAAGTGTCCTAACAAAACAGCAACAGTTTGTGGGGTTATGGCCAATTACTAGATATAAAAGATCATTAAATTTGGTTTAGTGGGCTCATGTTGTCTGTCACCATTAGAGGTTTAGAACTTCAGCCTTCCTGAGGGAGTTTTGATTACAAGATCATAAAGTTTTGAAGGAAAACTATATATATTTCATATTCCTACATTTTTTCTTTATCTCCTATTAGATAAGCATGTACAGTATGCATTACAAAAAGTATTCCAAAAGATTCTCTCCCGCCCCCTCCGCAAAAAATAAATAAGGTTGCGACAGTCTCCTTAACCTTTATCAACAATTATACTCTTCAAGAAACAGGAACAACCATGATACTAGCAATGTTTTTAGTTAACACCAAAAATTTATAGAGATACTTGTCCATTGCGTCATAATAAGAGCAACAGATGTAGTACTTACCTTGCCCTGGTGGTAGAGGAAGCCTTGGCATCATCCGTCATGTCTTGGGCCAGGGACCATCCAGCCTGAAACAACAATCATGAATGAGGCAGCAGTTCTTCTTTCATTATTCTAATTATATATAAACTTTATTGATATTTAAACCCAAATTCTATAAACAGTAACACAAGCGATGGTGGATACTTCCATCTCTCAACAAGGATCAGTACAGCTGGCCAGAACCCCGAAGAGTAACTTACTGACAAACCTACACTAACCATTTTCAGCGCTGTGATTCTTATTCGTTCTCTCTAAAATAAGTGACGCCAAATACTATAACATATACACATACACATATACACATGTAACAGGACTAACATAATAATTATATAAGATGAATAAATCTGAATAAAGTGAAAAGTTTTTAATTACCTGGGAGCTTCTGTCGTTAATAAAAAAACATTAATTTTTGGTGTATAAAAAAACTAATTGGATTTGAAATTTGAAATACAATTTTTAATTGTTTAAAATTTAAGTGGGACTCTATGTAAAGATTAATCTGAAAACTTGTTTTATACTGATTTTTTTATGTTAACTTTAATAATAATAATAATAATAATAATAATAATAATAATAATAATAATAATAATAATAATAATAATAATAATAATAATAATAATAATTAGCCTTTATTATTATTATTTTTTGTTATTATTATCATCATTATTATTACACTACTATCATATTATTGTCATCTTATGGAACCTTTATTGTCACGTCACTGTCATGTTTCTGGGCGGCTGTCGTTAACTCACTGTACTGTCACTGATATATCACCAAACTACCGACGACCAACCAATTAAATACGACTGAAAATTACTTTAACTTGTGGTATTATATTATTGAACCGTAAGTAAATAATTATTGAACTGTGAATGACCCGTCACTCAGCTGTACTGTGAGAGAGAGAGAGAGAGAGAGAGAGAGAGAGAGAGAGAGAGAGAGTTAGGAAAATAGATAGATAGATGGATGGTTGGATGGAGTGTTAAGCCATTTCCCATCAAAGTGTTAAACCATTATACACCAAAAGGTTAAGTCTTCATCCATTAAAAGGTTAAACCATTACACACCAAAGGATTAAAACATTATACATCACATGGTTAATTTCCATTCACTTAAATTGTCTCGTTTGCAATTTTTTTTCTCTCACACCTGACACAAGGAGGCATCAGTTGACCTCTGACCCTTGAAGGAAGGTCAAGGTCAGAAAATGAGAGCTACTGCAAAGGTGAATCTTTTTGTGTCACTATTTAACAAAATTCGAATTGGCTTTTATGTAACTCACGATGATTGGATTTTTTGTACGGCTTTTTTTTTTATAGTTTTAGTCTATTTTCATTATAATTTTGGGGTCTTTTTTTAATTAGGTCTTCGGTATTTGGTCTTACTTTTTGTTCTTTATTTTTTTTATTTTATTTATTTTTGGTCCATGGATCTTGATTTTGGTCTTATTTCCCCAAGTGTTATTATCCAAAGTCTTATTTGACAGTTTTATTTCAGCTCAAATCATTTTTGTCTTATCTTCTCAAGTCTTATTTTCTCAAGCTTTAATTTCCAAAGCCTTTTTCTCAAGCTTTAATTTCCCGTCTTTTTCTCAAGTCTTTTTTCTCAAATCTTTTTCTCAAGTCTTTTTTCCCCAAGTCTTTTTTAACACGTCTTGTATTTTCAGATCTTATTTTCACGTCTTATTTTTCCCGGTCTAGGAATTTTTCTCGCCTCTCTTTGTGAATATTGACCGAGGTTCATGAAAGAGTTTATTGAAGTCCCTCTTTCCTCTTTCCCTCCTCTTGCCTGAAGCGAGCGAATGAAAGAAGGATAAGAGATAATGTAAGAAAGTTAAGTAAGAGAGAAAAAGAAGGAATTAGTAGGAGTTTCAAGGAGAATGGGAAGAGAAGCAAGCGAATGAAAGAATAATGAGAATGGAATAAAGACAAGGAAGAGAGAAGAGGAGGAGTAAATGAGATTAAACAAGAATAGGAAGAGAAACGAGAGAATTAAATAATAATAAGATAGAATGAAATAAAGACTGAGAGAAAGACCAGAAGGAATAACTGAGAATTAAAAAAATAAATATATCTCCCCCCCTTCAAGCATTCCCTTCCCCCTCTTCCCCCTTCATTCCCACTCCTAGCATATCTTCCCCTTTAACTCCCTCTCCTTATAACACCCCCTTTCATCTTCTCTCCCCACCCTCCAAGCATCCCCTCCCCTTTCATCTCCCCTCCAAGCATCCCTCTCCCCTTTCATGCCCCCTCCAAGCACCCCTCTCCTTCCCCTGACACAATCCAGCACCAGTATGATGTTGATGAACCACAGATTTTCACCTTCGTTGCGTCCATATAAAGAAGTATAAATTCACCAAAGTCCCAGATTAGTACATTAAACGACGCTACTGTACATCACATCTAATTAATTCTCCCCATTGTGTTATTTTTCTCCCTATCTCCCCCCTTCCCCTCCCCCTCAGGTATACTCCCCAATTTAGGATAGAATTACTACAGGGGTTGTTGTGGTGGTAGTGCTTAACGTCACCACAATTTGACTTTTATTGATGTTAATTAATACTAATTTTTGGTCCTTTTTTCTTGGTTCCCAGGTTGACGAGTTATGGAGGGATGACGCTCATGGCTACACGGTGATTACGACTTGTGGAGACGTCTGAAACCATCCACGAGATAAAGAGATAAAGAGAGAAAAGAGAGAGAAAAGGTAAGACTAGCCAGTAGATAAATTGGCTTTACCTCAGAGGATCAACTTTCTTCCCATCGTCCGAGACCAGATCACACAAGATCTAAACAAACGATCTCTCACGCTCCCAGGGTCGTCTATCTCCACACACTGACTTGATCTGAGGAAAAATGAAGGACCCTAAGCTAGACAAGTATCATTTGTTTTTATCTTCCGCGCGTCTGACCGCTACCGCCGCAGCCGCCTCCACTATTACTACTACTAGGGAAAGCGACAGTTACTCTCTTCCCTCTTCTGTTGCTACGATGTCGAAGGGAAGTACCGCCAATAGGTGTTCATCTTCCTTCTCTGTTACCACCACGTCGAAAGGAAGTGCCAAGAACACTACTTTCTCCTTCGTGGCACTAGTGATGGTTCCCTTGGCACTCATCCTGACCGTCATGACGCTTCAGGTAGAAGCTCAGAGCCCCTCATCATCAGCCTCTTCCTCCTCCTCCTCCTCCTCTTCCTTTTCCTCCTCCTCTACCTCCTCATCTTCCTCCGCCCCCTCCAAGGTGGTATCGTCGTCGGAGACTCACGGAACTTCAAACTACCACCACCACAACAAGCGTGACGATCACTGGTACGGCGACCTCAACGACCAGCCGCCGCAGCTCAGGATCGAGTCGAGCGTCCGCACCATCCCGAGTCAGACGTCAGGGTGGAGGAGCGACATCAAGAACCCTTACAACGGGAATTTCCGCAGCGCCAAGTGGATGGAGACAGTCCGGACTACCCATAATTCCCCCGCAAAAACTGTCTCCGAGCAAGATGAGTCCATGGTCTCCGGGGAAGAGGAGGAAGATCTCACGGACCGAAGGAAACGGACCAAGACGGAGAAGTCATCGACGGAGAGCACCTGGGAGGGGAGCACCCGTCTGACCCTGGTGGACGGGGGCTACGAGGGGCTGGTGGTCGACGTCAGCAGCAAGGTGCCGCAGGACGACTGTCGCACCGTCATCGATGGCTTACAGGTGAGTACAGGCGTCCCTTAATACCTTAACATCCAGGTAAAGACTTCATGTTATACATTACCACACCGGAAGTAGTATTATACAGCTATATAAAATGTACTTTACGTATACCTGTATTTATCAATGAACTGTGTAAATATGAAAACTACTATAATAATAATAATAATAATAATAATAATAATAATAATAATAATAATAATAATAATAATTTAACAGTAACTAGCCCTCTGATGAGCTAACAACTTAAACTAACTACTTCACCACATCACAAACAGTCTAGTAATTTATCTCACTACAAAAGGTTAGTGAACGTAAAATAAGACTATTAATTCTCAAACTTCCTCACGTCAAGCTTTTCTCTTAAGCTGGAGATGTGAACAGGTATTTAACTGCCTCCCTTAAGCTTAGATCGTAAATTGACTACCAAGAAATATAATGACGTCATAATCTGTGTGAGATTCTACTGTTATAAATTCAGATTAAACGAGCAAGTCTTTTATGTCGAGAAAATAATTTGTCTGAGCTCTCTTACGTCCTCCACTAATTGATATTAATGAATTTTACGCTTAAGAGGAAACAACAATATATCTTCGTTTAGTACTTAGAGGTAAAACACGCACACAACAAACACACACACACACACGCATACGCATTCTTTCGGGGCGTCGAAAACTAATATTAAGTCAAGTGTAAAAAAGTGGGTAAAAGATAAGGTAAAAGATGAAACTTGCCTAATTAATTTTACCCGCCATGTCTGGAAAGACTCATTTTCTTAATTAAATAGGCAAGATAATGAACTCGGAGAGGTGGGCTGCATATCAACTTTTATTTCAGTTAAATTTACCTTAAAGCTGTAGCGAGCAGGAAAGTTAAAAATGCCGCTTCCCTATTCGTTGGTTGCCAGATAGAGGGGCGGAGTTAAGTGGCCTATTGACCAATCCCATCTAAGTGATAACACAATAAATCTCGTGAATATTACAACACTTGACACACACACACACACACACACACACACACACACACATATATATATATATATATATATATATATATATATATATATATATATATATATATATATATATATATATATATATAAACCAAAGACGTGTAAATCAGAACTAAAATTCCTTCATCTATATCTAAGAGAATTCTGTGAATAAATGAGTAAATAAATAATTAAAGTGTAAATTACACGCAGGGTAGATTTGATTACGGTCGGTAAATATTTACATTTCACTGTCTCGGGCGTTTCATTAATCTCAACATATTTCCCACAAGTGATCGTTGGAGGAACACCCTAACACACTATGCCCTCACAGATTTCCTTTCATTTTCGCTCACTCTAAGCCCATAAACCCTCGACATAGGGGATTCAATATTCCTCTAACTTATTTTTAGGGATGGGTTTCCGCCCCTCTGCTCCTGAGTTAGGGTCAAGTTCAGGCGCCTCACAAGTTAAGAGAGACAGATGGTGTTGCTTCACCTCATTCATCTTCCTTCTTTACCACTAACACCACAACATGAGTTAATTATTTTTTCTCCTTATGTTGTGTATTAACGCTCAAACACACAAACACATACACGTTTATATGTATGCGTATGGATGTGTGTGTGTGCATGTATGTGTATTCGTGAATGTGTGTATGCGTGTAGGTACGTATGTTTATCAATGTGTATATATGTTTGAACAAGTGTGCATATACAGTACATGTGTGTGTGTGTGTGTGTGTGTGTGTGTGTGTGTGTGTGTGAATAACGCTTGTATGTACTGTACCCGTGCGTGACCTTTCCTTGCGTGTGCACTAAATCAAAACACGATTTATAACCTTCGCCGCCTGTTGAGCTGTTTATACAACCCAAAGCACCCCACACAATATAATCTCTTTTTCACACATTTCACACACTCACACACACACACACACACACACACTCACACACCTAGAAAGCAAAAGAGGGCATGCAAGATTATTCTCTCCCTTCCTACTCCACATATCAAGAAGCGCCACACTGACCCTCTGACTCTCACTGACCATCACCACGGCATCAGGAAGCCACCAACCTCACACCATCCCCTACTACACCACCTGAGATCCCCTGTCCGAGAATTGCTGTTCGACACCACAACCGCATCCAGCCCATACGTGCACGAACTGATCGCTATAAGAACAGCCCAGTCCCAACCATTGTAAAAATTATCAATAACATGTAATAAATCAGTGATTCTCAGTAAACACTGCTCACGCTGTCACTATGTTGAAATGAACTGTATTTTGAGCTGATCCCCATCTATTACTATATGTCTTATTTGTGTCACTTATGTCATTTGTATATTATTTGTAATTCGTAACCCATTCCCAAATATGTAACTGTATATTTTCAGCCTTCTGGCTGCCAAGCTCTTCAATAAACCGTTAATTATTATTATTATTATTATTATTATTAACACACACACACACACACACACACACACACACACACACACACACACTCACTACATCCTTGACCACCAGTCAAGACATTACCTGCGCGCTCCTCTCCAGGCAGCCAGGTCAACGTTATATAGGCCCATACCAACTCCTCCCTGAACCCTCCTCCCCACGGAATATCAACAAGTTAACGCCAGAAGTTACTATTTCATTTAGGAAAGAAATGGAACCAGTGTTAAACAGAGGTGAACAGTGGTGAACAGTGCTTAAGTCAGTGAGAACAACTCAACAGTAACAGCGGTACCAAGTTGACCTTTCACACAGTGAGGTCCCAGGTACCCAGTGATAACGGCCCGACAACTACCAGCGATGTGTTAATCTGTCTACGATAGGAGGCCTGGGACACACCTCAGTCATAGAACACCGTCTGTGAGTTACACCACGTGAGGCCCCCCTAACCCATCTGTGAGATTACTACACCACGTGAGGCCCCTCATAACACCATCTGTGAGGGAATTACTACACCACGTGAGGCCCCTCATAACACCATCTGTGAGGGAATTACTACACCGTGAGGCCCTCATAACACCATCTGTGGGGAATTACTACACCACGTAGGGCCCCTCATAACACCATCTGTGAGAACTACTACACCACGTGAGGTCCCTCCTAACACCATCTGGGAGAGTTACTACACTACGTTTTTGCTGTTCAACACCTACATTAATCTGTATGCTCACTATGTTCCTTCACCTTTCTCTAATGAAGGCTTTTGTTAAACCACCAATGTATGTAATAAGTCATTTATGCCCAATGTATATTTTCAGCCTTCGGGCTGCAGAACTTTTTCAATAAACCGTTAATTATTATTATTATTATTATTATTACACTCGTAGACACCTGACATGTTGTGGTAAACAGGACAACTAACATACTAATATACACTGGATGGAAGGACAACACAACATCAGAAGTCCACACCCATCATAACAGTTAACCCAAAGTAAACAAATTGAAGTCGATGAATCTCCATGAATCCGCGTGATAGTTACGAACGCTGTTGGCTGTACAAAAATAAGTACCTGAATATGTTTACTTTGTGATGTAAATGAGGTTGATGTGATATTGTTTATATTATTATAGATTAATATGTGAATATTTATATTTATACGTTTATGTATAATGATGGATATTAATACACACAGACACACACATACATTAACAGTATAGCCGCATACAGACACACACACATACACACATACATTAACAGTATAGCCGCATACACACACAGACACACATAAACAGTATAGCCAGCACACACACACACACACACACACACATATTAACAGTATAGCCGCATACACACACACAGACACACATAAACAGTATAGCCAACACACACACACACACACACACACACACACACACAGCCACGCAGCTTTAATCTAGGAGTGTGGCATCCATTACAACACCCTCCCCCCACCACACAACGGCTGAGCTAACTTACCAGGAATTACTTCGCGTGTGGCCCCTAATTTAAGCTCGGTTCTTGTACGTAAGATTTGAACGGGAGAAAAAAAAACCAGTTAGTACACATTAGTAATATCTAACTTGTTGGGAAGTAACTAACCGCCAGTAGGGAGAGTGTCATGTTTCGGGCGATATTGTTTCATTGTCTTTGGTTATGTATCGTGGTTATGTATCGTGGTTATGTATCGTGGTTATGTATCGTGGTTATGTATCGTGGTTATGTATCGTAGTTATGTATCGTAGTTATATATAGTAGTTATGTATCGTGGTTATGTATCGTTAAAATGATGAATTATTACGTATTGTTAAAAATTATTCATGTAGACGGGAGTTACATACCGTTAGCTGTTATGATGACGTGTAATTGCATCATTCGTTATGTATATATCAACTTGTAGTATTGAATCACTTTTTCATTATGTATATATTAAGTATAATTATAAAAAGAATGGAGTGATAAGATTCTTGTTATTCATGTTAACACTTGAGTTTTGCTTTGTTCCTCAGTGTATTATTGTGTGTGTGTGTGTGTGTGTGTGTGTGTGTTGTGGGGAGTATCTGAAGGATTGTCACATATAGCTCACGGTAATGGAAGGTGAAATGGTGGTTGATGCAGCATACTATAATTGAGTCGCAGCTGACTGAACCATACTTATAGCAGTAAGTGGCGAATCTCTCACTGTTTGTTAGTCAGAGAGAGAGAGAGAGAGAGTACACGTCTTCCCTCAGGTCGTATACTAAGTTAACACTCCCTCGTAAACATAGATCGCAAGCATTACGATATCGACTCTGGGTCTCCCGGATATTCACTTAATACGAGAGAGTGTTGCACCTGGTTCCTGCAACCCCACTCCCGATAATTAGTTGTAGTTAAGTCCTCCCAGGTAGTTTGTTGAGGTGCAGTATACTCAGGTATATTCAAGATAGACTAAAGATATATTAAAACTATACTTAAGATATATTATAACTCTACTGAAAATATATTGAAACTAGAGTAAAATATATTATACCTATACTACAAATATATTGAAACTATACTAAAAATATACTGATGGATAGATC